CTTTATTATTGGTTGATACTATTCATCGCTAACAGTATTAAATTTTCTTTTCTTCTCCGCAGATAAAATAGTTATTAGATCACACCTAGTTTGTCTTCTAAAACATGTTGCTATATTATCACTTGAGACTTGCATAATAACCTATTATTTACCTGATTCTATTGCAAGTTTTTCAACCTCTTCAATAACCTCCGTTGTCATGGCAATTTGAACTTCAACCTCAGCAAGTTGATTAACAAGTTCAACCGAACTACCATTATGTGACATCATCTCTTCTAAAATTCGCTTTCTGTAACATAAACATTATAAATATATAAATGCCTAGATAAATCATACTGAATGGAATGACCAAGGCATGGTTATTAGACAATCTGATTAAAACACAGATCTATATTTTGTTTCGTTTTTTTTACACTTTCGATGGCCTCTACTACATGAAGATCTGACCAGATGTGATGGGAGGTCGCATCAGAGGTCATACGAGCGGCTTTTGATCCTATGATGTTAGACATTTGATAAACCAATCAGCATTGATGTTTCTAGTGGGTTACCCACAGTTCCATGCAACTCACACCAAAAACTTGGAAAAACAGACCTTTTCATTGGCTATTGCCTCACATCAATAGGAACACAGGTTACATAACAATTCTTCCAGATCTGTGTTTTAATCAGATTGGGTTTTTAGAAAAATTCTAAGTCTGTGTTTTCTTATAAATCAGCTTTTCACTTCAAAATTTTGTCAGTCAATACATTGTTGACACAAGATATATTCTCCAATGAATGTGTAAGCATTTTTAGCATTATCCCTTTTCTAACGATACATTTTGAAGTGCTTGTACAAAAAAAATTGTAGAATTAACTGTATTTATTGGATAAATTCTCTGGTCAATAAATCAGCGGTGAAGAGTCCAAAAGGGTGTATCTAAGAATTTCCAAAGATTACGAAATAGAACCTTTTGCATTTCAAAATTTCCACAAATCAAGATACAACATTTGTACATATGATACCCAGAACAGTTCTAATTGGCGTAGAGATACGTACAGCTTAGTAAGAAATGTGCACATTAATTGAGAGATTTTAAAAATGCAAAAAAATGTATTTGACTAATTTCCCCCCGAGATACACCCTTTTGACACTTCACCGATGAAATGTAGAAGAAATGGATGCCTCACCGTTTAAATTGAATAGCTTTAAGCGTTAGCTGTAATTCTTCTAGACCTAAATTAGAATCTTCCAGTTCTTGAGCTATCTTAGCTGATAAATTAAAGTCCTCATCTTGTTCTTCATCACCCTAAATATAGAAACGTTTTTATATTAAAATGACAATTTAGTAAGCCTTCTTCTCAGTTAATAACTGGATTTAGAACATTCTGGTTGTTAGTTCTGACCCTGTTCAAAAACTGTCACCAATTTTACACTTTGATTTTCTTACATCAAAAATTAACCAATGTCCTCCTGATATTCTGACAGCAAAAATTCACCAATTTCCCTTTTATATTCTGACAGTACAAAAACACTAATTGTAACACAGATTCTCTGATAGCAAACCATTCATCAGTTTTCCATCTGATTTTCTAACATTTCACTTGAATTCTTTGACAGTTATCACAGAGATTACTTTAAACCCACGAGAAAGGATCTAAAAGATTAATTGTGCCTTTCAAAATAACCACTTTATTGCCCAAGTAGTGAAGAAAGCAGGGGAAAATAACGCAATGAAATGAAATGGGGTTTAACGTCCTACTGTTCTGCTCCTGACTAGGCTAATGAAGATGGGCATACGCCATACAGTGCGCTATGAGGGGAATTTAGCCCGGACAATGGCACTACGGCCTACTGTTATATCATATTCCAACTGCCAAGGGATCTCGGTTTTTTGTCCCATCCAAATGACTATACGTTGTCCCATGCCAGGCCCTCTGTTCTGTACCACCGACAATGGAGAACCAAGCCGGAAAATCTGGATGAACTTTCTCGGTCCAATGCTGAGATCAAACACCCGACCTCCAGGTTAGCGAGCCAACGCCTTACCCGCTTAGCCACCGTGACCCCCAGTAGCAATAACATTTTGTTTCCTCTGAAGAAAATTTGGCAACTATGTTGCTAGATGTGAAAAGTTAGCAACGATATTGAGACATTTGAAAGTTTAGCAACTGTGTATTAAGATTTAAAAATTTAGCAACTGTGTATTAGGATTTGAAAATTTAGCAACTGTGTTTTCTGAATCTAAATGGATCAGATGTTTAGATCTGTAATTTTCATATTTTTTTACCTAGGGCACACAGACTAATTTTTTCCATACAAGTGCTCCAATTTTTAATAGCTCGAAAAAATATACTCGTTTGCCCATAGTTTAAGCATCCTAATCATGTGACATTTTTCTACCAATAAATTAATCATATTTACCTTCCAATAGCCATCTTCAGGATCAAAAGATTGAATAATATCCAAAATGGCGGATTTTAATTCCGTTGATGGATGGTTGAATAAGTCCAAAATCTTTGGTAATCTATGGGGGGAAAAAGGACAAATATTGGAAATATTAGGATATGTGCTTCTGTACCAAAATGGCTAATGATGAGATATTTGTTCTAGGACGGTGGTGTTTCCACCTACTCTTCGTCAAATTTTAACTGCCAAGGATTAATTAACACGCACGTCAATGTGTATACTGTGTATATGTCCACTCTACACAAACTAGGTCATTTCGGGACTAACATATCGTTCAATTTTGTTTTAATAATTTGTTTGCGCTGTGGGGTCTTTAGCCGTGGAAGGAAACTTGAGGACCCAGAGAAAACCCACGAGGTTGAACAGGTGACCCTATTCCTTGTCATGTACAAGCAGGGAATCGAAGCTACGCCACTTGACTCAATAACAGATCTTCTGATTCAATACACATGCCTTAACCATCGGCCACCCAACCCCTCTTCAAAGGAGAAAGCGAGGAGAAAGAGCGGGAGAGAGCTTAATTTCCACTCGACACAAACTAGGTCATTTTGGGACTTACATATGGTTCAACTTTAGTTCAATAATTCGCTTGCACGTAGGGGTCTTTAGCAGTGGGAGGAAACCGGAGGACCTGGAGAAAACCCAGGAGGTTGGACAGGTGACCCTACTCCTTGTCACATACAACCAGGGAATCGAAAGAAAGCGAGGAGAGTTATTCAGTAGAACGGAGTAGTCATAGTTTTCTGGCAACAAATAACAAAGGGAATCAGTGGTCAATAGGAAGTAATTCTGAGTAACAATAACAGAGTCGGTAACAATCCATCAATGTAAATGTTGACACTCAAACCACCGAGTTCTCTTCCCAAACCCTCTAGGTGGAAGTGTCTCTTCCCGCCCTGTACAAATACATATGTATATAAGGTAAGTAACGGTAAATATTATGATTATGAATACAATAAAGGCTAACAGGGTTTAATCTCTTATTTGTCTGCACAAACCTGACTAATGGAGATGGGCATATAAAAACATTAAGGTTTGTTATGAGAGAAAGCAAAGATTCTAAAATCAGGCAGGCCATTTTGATTCTTTTAATCCTCATAATGTATGGTGTTAGATATATTGCCTCCACTAAAATATTTTATGGCTATGTTATCTTTCAAATCATGAATGTTATTTTAGTATGTGGATTTATATGGTCCACTAAAATATTTACAATTTTCTAAAACAGATAAAAAGATAACTTACTCATTTAAAGCATACAATGTAAGTGCTTGTTTATTACTATCTACAGAACTAACTCCATACCTGTAATTCAAATAAAACCAGCGGCTGCCAGGCAGGATACGCCCACATTTTCGAGAGATGGATAGAAAACAAGCTAAAACGAAAGTGATTTTTCCTACAATCAAGGGCCATAATTCATAAAGTTACGGTCCGATATGCGCGAATATCGAAAGGAACCGAGATCTTTGTGTTATAAACTTACATTTCAAGTTTCAACAAAATCGGATAAAAATTGTGACCTCTATACGGTCCACAACCTTGATATACCATATTTTTACGCTATTTGAGAACAAAGGGCGGCCATTTTGTCTGTCAGTTTTGGGCCGATTTTCACATAATTCGAACTCAGCCGTCCTTAGGGTGTAACAGTGATATATTAACACGTTTTTTTAAATCGGATAAAAATTATGACCTATATAGGGTCCACAAGCCAAAAAACATGTTTTTGCGTACTATCAGGGGCCATAATTCAGGAAGTTACAGTCCGATATGTGCAAATATCGCAAGATCTTTGGGTTATAAGCATACATTTCAAGTTTAAACCAAATCGGATAAAAATTGTGACCTCTACTGTGTTCACAAGCCAAAAACGTGATTTTTCGTACAATCAGGGGCCATAATCCATGAAGTTACGATCCGATACATGCCAATATCGAAAGGAACCGAGACCTTAGGGTGATAAACCTATATGTCAAGTTTCATTGAAATCGGATAAAAATTGTGACCTGTAGACTGTTCACAAACAATTGTGGACGGACGGACGGACAGGGGCGACGACAATATACGTCCACATGAAAATGTGGGCGTTTAACAAATTGAGATTATCAAACCTACAAAGTTATAGATGTCAACATCTAGATATATACCATAATAATTTCTTTCTGAAGCTAACAATCCTTTCAGATATATACTCATGCTAACAACTCTTTTAGAGATATGCTAACAATCCCTCAGATACCCATGCTAACAACTCAAGATAACAGAGATATATATATACTCATACTAACAACTCATACATACATTCTTATGCTAAAAAATATTTCAGGCATATACTCATGCTATCAATTCATTCAGAGATATACTCAGAGTAACAATGCTTTCAGAGATATATATACGCATGCTAACAATTCATTCAGTTATACTCATACTAACAATTCATTCAGTCATATACTCATGCTAACAATTCCTTCAGAGATATACGCATGCTAATAATTCATTCAGAGATATACTCATGCTCACAAATTATTTCAGAGATACACTCACACTAACAATTCCTTTCATGCTAACAACTCTTTCAAAGATATACTCAAGCTAATCACTCTTTCAAAGATATACTCATGGTAACAACTCTTTCTATACTCATGTTAACAACTCTTTCAAGGATATACTCACACTAACAATTTTCGTTCCGACTAATGATCGCCCGAATACTCACGCTAATAATTCTTGGAATAAATCATTATGATCACTTCTTATTACTTTTACTTTAGTACAGGTCATGTCTTTCTTGATTAGCTATCAATAAAATAATATTCAAGATGCGAGATATAATGTCACTTAAAGGGACAGTCCCAGATTTTACATGAATCCAGAAATTAAAGATTGTAATTCAAACTTCATAATGGGATATTATAGTCTGGCCCCTGAGTTCACAAAGTATTCTCAGAATTAAGTTAAGAATTATTGATGTATTTGCTACATTAAAACAATAAATGTTTAATAACTTAAGCAAGTGTACTGATGTGGTTAGCGAGGCACTTACATAGCATGGAATTAGGGGATTTGTGGCCAACCTCTCAAGGAAACCTTTTAGATAGTGGCACAGGACTAGGTGAAGGTCTTTCACCATATAATAAAATAAACATCCTAGTTTTTCTGCTTCAATGCTATATATGAGAGAGAGAGAGGAATGGGGTTTAAAGTCCACTCGACACAAACTAGATCATTTCAGAACTAACACATTGTTTCAATTTTATTTCAATAATTCACTTGCGCATAGAGATCTTTAGCAGTGGGAGGAAACCAGAGAACCCAAAGAAAACCCACGAGGTTGGACTGGCGACCCTTCTCCTTGTCACGTACAACCGGGGAAATCGACACCACGGCAGTTGACTCAATGACAGACCTTATGATACAACGTGCAACCCCCCTGCTATTAGATAAATGTTGCCCAGGCTGCAGCATTTCCTCCTGCTATTCTTTGACTTTCAATGAACATTGTTTTATATGCATGCCATTTTGTAATCTGTGCCTCGTACGGGTCCTCTTTCCTACACCATTTTCTCAACCAAAACCAGTCTTACTCACTGGAGGCCTTACAAATAGTTTAATGAATGTTTTTCTTCTTAATGGGATATTTAAATTCAATCTGACCTTATGACGTCAGACATTGATAGCTTTGACGTTTTCAGTGGTTTACCCACTGTTAATCCTCACACTATCTAGAACGCAGGTTATATAACAGATGGTTTCATTGTTAATCCCTCACACTATCTAGAACGCAGGTTATATAACAGACGGTTTCATTGGTTAATCCCTCACGCTATTTAGAACACAGGCTATATAAGAGATGGTTTCATTGTTAATCCCTCACGCTATCTAGAACGCAGGTTATATAACAACTCTAAAACGAAAGTTTGAACTATTAAAAACAAAATGGGATGTGTTTTAATCAGATTGATTAAAATTGTAGAAACTTACCTCTGATGACAGAAGATCTTTATGCCAAAATAATGCTGATATCTCCGCTGACAATAAATATGATTCTCCATACAGGTTAATAAGATGAAACATATGATCTTCTGTAGCATCAATACTGTCCACAAAAACATGAATATTGCATTTATTTTTAAATTCAACTGGGTCATTTTATAATAAGTAGTAATTGTATTCCATAGAATTGTGACCTGTATAGTCCAGTTCAATTACTAAATGCCATTGAAACAATTTATCAAACCTAATAATAATAATGATATTTGTATCTCGCAACTATTCAATCCACTAGGCGCTAAAAAATGTCCTCACTTTGGAGTGTTAATGATAGTGATTAAACAACCAAGTTTTCACTTTTGATTTAAAAACCGACACAGATTCACATAGTCAAATATTTTCTGGAAGTGTATTTACACAATTGATGCGCTATATCGAAAAGTTCTGCATCCAAATGATTTCAAATTATAGGCAGGTACATCTAATAATAGTTTCCCTTCTGACCATTTAGGTGGATACAATACTAGATTTTGAATGTAACCTGGCGAGATTTGTTTATCGATCGTTAGGTTAACGATAAGATTTTTAAAGTTGATCCTTTCTCGAACACAAAGCCAATTTGTTCAAGACTTGATTTAGTTTTTGACAATGTAAGCAGCGCGGTTTTGTAATCTTGGGTGTTTTGAAATCTGTTCGTTCGTATTACCAGTTCGTAACGAATTACAATGAAACGTTTGTGAATTACTGTTCGAAACACTCCCTTTAATATAAAAGAGAAAACTTAAAGGCTTAGAAAGTAAACTTACATTTTAACAGATCGAGGTCCAGGTGGGAGATCTCGAGGTGATATGGGATTAGATGAAGAGAGATTATCCTCTGTGTTGGTTGTCAGGGTGATTGTATCCGTGACAGCAGGAGTATTGTTAGAAGGATTGTTAATACCAAATAATATATCATCACCTGGTACCTACAATTTACACAACAAGAAATATTATCAATTCTTTAAATGGTATCTAGAGATAAACAAATTAGGTCATTTCGGGACTAACATATGGTTCAGGTTTATTTCAATAATTCGCTTGTGCATAGGTGTCTTTAGCAGAGGGAGGAAACCGAAGGATCCTGAGAAAACCCACAAGGTTGGACAGGCGACCTTACTCCTTGTCACGTACAACCAGGGCATCGAAACCATGCCAGTTGACTCAATAACAGACCTTATGATACCATTCGGCCATCCGCCCCCCCTTAAATTATATCTAGAAGTACAGTTAACTATTCACAATAAGACACACCACAACATGTGTATATAATATAACTACTTCTTTGTTATTAGTATCTTTACACATACTGGTCATGTTAACTTGAAAAGGCAGACATATCCATCATACCTTGTGTTGTGTTTTGTTGTGAGAAGAAACATTATCACAGTTAATTAACTTTATGCTGGGAGAGAGAGAGAGGGAGGGAGAGAGAGAGAGAGAGAGAGAGAGATGAGGTTTAACGACCACTCAACACAAACAAGGTCATTTTGGGACTAACATATGGTTCAATTTTATTTCAATAATTCGCTTGCGCGTAGGACTAGGACTCTTTAGCAGTGGGAGGAAACCGAAGGACCTGGAGAAAAGCCATAAGGCTGGACAGGTGACCCCACTCCTCGTCACGTACAACCGGGGAATCGAAACGCCAGATGACTCAATGACAGAACTTATGAACTTTGTGCTGGAAATGTACTAAAAATATCAAAGAACAAACAATGACAAGCAACAGAGGAATTGCACCTGACACAACTTTAATCTATGTCTAACAATGTCAGTGACAGGTAGCTTTAGATTGCCAATGACGTGAACTATGGATCTTTCTTTAAAATTCTGCCAGTGTGACATTTTTTCTTTAGATGCCATCGGCGTTCACAAGTTAGGTTAAAATCACTCGTATCCACAAATACTGTAAACAAAACCAGCTTAACTGTTCTGACAGAAGTTATGGTTAATTTTATACATGCCTACTTAGAAATACAAATTCCAGAAAAAGTGATAGAATGTGCATATCCAAAGATAGCTGAAATAGGCAAATTTAAACTGACCCTTTCAGACGGCATGATAAGCCAGCTCAAAGCCAGGCATGTAGCACCCTGTTTTTTTTTTTTTTCTTTTAAACTAGTTTATTTGCACCATATAGTTTTAACAATCTATAGCTTTCTTAAAATCAGTTTACCTAAAGTGCCTGTGACTAACGTAAGCTGAAGACCTTGAGACATCTATTCATCGAAATCCTTCTAGCAGACGAACAAATCTTATTGATTGGTTGCAATTATACACCACAGGTTTTGTTAAATGACAATCTAATTAAAATTTAATGTTTTTCAATTATTTTTATATTTTGTTTCTTTTTACATTCTGTACTTTATATTTTACAACTGTCTGTGTGAATCGGATTCATTTGTACGCTACAGAAAATATAACTTTCATGCGAGGTAGGAGAATTTTGCCCTAATCTTCGTCGATTTGCAACTATCTACGGTTCTTTTACATACTCTAAGGTGTACATCAATTGGTCCATCCAGAGTGAGAGAAATGGGGTTTAACGTCCACTCGACACAAACTAGGTCATTTCGGGACTAACGTGTGGTTCAATATTATTTCAATAATTCGCTTGCGCTTAGGGGTCTTTAAAAGTGGGAGGAAACCGGAGAAAACCCACGAGGTTGGACTGGTGACCCTACTCCTTGTCACGTACAACTGGGGAATCGAAACCACACCAGAACTTATAATACAGCGCGCACACACTAACCATTCGGCCATCCAACCCCCCTCAGTGGCTTAGATACTTTGTGTTTAGCATTACAGATTTCATAAATGATGCTATTATCATTATTAAATTGAAAATATTATTTCTTGCACAAAAAAAAAAAAAAAAAAATTCCCTACACAAAAAAACAAAAACAAACTGTCAAGTTAATGTAAATAGTAATTCATCAGAATTCATTATATTACAATCTGATTAAAATACAGATCTATATTTCGTTTTGTTTTTTTATACTTTCGACGGCCTACACTACATGAAGTAGTAAAGACAAGTAAACCGAAATTTTGAACTATAAAAACGAAACGAAATAGGATCTGTGTTTTAACCAGATTGATTATATTATTATTAGACGAAAATAGTCACACACAATAGTCACACACAAAAATAAACTGAACAAGTTATAATATATCATTCAGAGATAATCATCTATTATGTTTATTTCAATACATCATGTTTCTATTTTCTGCAATTCTTCACAAATCGATCGAAAAAAGTTTTAAATAAAAATAAAAAAAATTCTTAACAAGAGTTACATTATTATATGATAATTATCAAATTGAACATTTTTTTTCTGCTACGAAAGGAGAATTTTCTTAATGCAACAGATCAATCAAATTAATATTTTATCAATGAAAAATTCTGGAATGTCAGGTTGCCAAGACAAATAATCGCTCTCAATACAAACATATTGTTAAAGTAGCAGTCCCAGATATAATTTTGTGTCATGTAAAGAAATGAAATGGGGTTTAACTTTTCTGCACCGCCTGGCTAATGCCCCCATCAGACCGGGGTGGCGTCTTTACTGTGCTGCTGTGACCCGCACAGCGACTAGAAAATGCACAAGGCCGCCGACAAACTTGAACACAACCAGAGAAGATGTTCAAAAAAATTACAAACTTGAAAAAAGTCGCTTTCTTACAGCTTTCCAGGTCAGATCGCAGAACCTTGCAGTTTGTTTTGAACATGGAGACCACAGCATGATATCTTGTGTTTCCACCACGCTTTTACCATACTTATGGCGATCTGACAGGGGTATAATGAAGACGATCTTAGGCCATACTGTTTGCTACGGCATAACGGTACTCTTATTTAAATTTCCAACTGTCAAAGGTTCTTTAAAGTGGCCGCGAATGTGTACACAGAATCTCCATTTTCCATACCATCCAAACAACTACACACTGTCCTTGTGACCTGTACAACCGACAATGGGAAATGGTGCCTGGAAATCTCCAAGAACTTTCTGGACCAACACCAGGAGGCACCGCACATTGGATTCACGAAGCACATTTATACTCAGCCTTCTCAGTAAATCCCAAGATTTCCTACAATTTCATTTATTTGTTTGTTGACCCACCAAAATCGAATGCCAAGGCAGTGGCTTTATATGTGTTTTGGGCTTTTGATAAGAGATCTAAATCAAATTGGGTGGTAACTATGTAACTGAAACCCTTTAGATATAGATATACTACACTGTTTGTATGAATGTATTATTTGTGTGTTCATGTTGTCTATATGTAATATGTATTATTTTAATGTATATGACTATGTCTAAGTGTATATATGTATCCATGCTGTCCTTCATGGACATTTTGATGCAATAAACATCTTATCTTATCTTATGACAAGGCCATAGTGCCTCCAGGTCATGTATGATTGTGAAACTGAATGGATAGTTATTTACATTTCAAAATTCAATGTGTTAGCTGTGTTTTGCGGGCATTACGAACTGCTCTTTTCATTTTCTTTGTTTTATTTGTTTCGTTTGAATTTGATTTATCTGTTTAGTTTTTGATTGTGTAATTTTTGTTAATGAAGTTGATTCTTTTAAACTTCGTTTTTATTTTTGAACTCTACTTGGTGTAGGTGTTCATCAGGTAATTCCTCGACTGAGTTCAATATTGAGATTAGCCGGTTGATTTGTTGGATATAAACCTTTGAATAATAGCGCCTAACAGGCAGCTGTGTTTAATTATGTTCTCCTGATTTTGATTGTTTCTGTGTGTTTGAAGTATATGTTTGTGATATGCGCTTAGAAACACTTCACGTGTAATGAAGCGCTATATAAATCAAACAATAATAAGAACACCTCCATTTAATAATTTAATGCTAAACGTGGATCATCAAGACTTTTAATTGGTTCTTGACGATCAAGACTATCCTGTAATAACTTTAAACTTTGTTTACTATTGTAGCAATGATACTTGACAATCAAGACTATCCTGTAATAACTTTAAACTTTGTTTACTATTGTAGCAATGGTACTTGACAATCAAGACTATCCTGTAATAACCTCAAACTTTGTTTACCATTGTAGCAATGATACTTGACAATCAAGACTATCCTGTAATAACTTTAAACTTTGTTTACTATTGTAGCAATGGTACTTGACAATCAAGACTATCCTGTAATAACCTCAAACTTTGTTTACCATTGTAGCAATGATACTTGACAATCAAGACTATCCTGTAATAACTTTAAACTTTGTTTACTATTGTAGCAATGGTACTTGACAATCAAGACTATCCTGTAATAACCTCAAACTTTGTTTACCATTGTAGCAATGGTACTTGACCATTAAGACTATCCTAAAATAACTTTAAACTTTGTTTACCATTGTAGCAATGGTACTTGACCATCAAGACTATCCTGTAATAACCTCAAACTTTGTTTACCATTGTAGCAATGGTACTTGACCATCAAGACTAGCCTATAATAACTTCAAACACTCTTAACTTTGCTCACGATAATGTAATTTTCAATATATTTATTTCTCATCTATTTTTTTTTTAGCTATTGTAGCAAAAACAGCAAGGTCTTTATCTAAATCTTACATAATGCATGTTTAATTTTTTTCCTTCACAATTAAATCCATTAATTTGTCAAGTTACAATTCATGTACATTTGTCAGAGGTTTGATTTAAAGAACACTGATTTATCTTTTTCCCTCAGTTGTGGAAAAAAAAAGACTATTATTTTTACATTACCGGTATATATAATTTATTGTCATTTTCAATCGAATATATCCTACAACAATAAAACAAAAGAAAGCCATGATAAAAAACAATGATATGTAAGCCCTATAACATTGATCTATTCGAGAACAATTGTTTTTATAGAATACATGTTGATCTATTCAAGAACAATTGTTTTTATAGAATA